TATATATATATTCTTTCCGATAGGTGGAAAAGAAAGTACGGTACAACGACAAACAGTGCTTCCAGTATGGAGGAACGAAGACTGCAACGCGGCTTATTTTCAACCAATCACCAGTAATTTTCTATGCGCTGGTTACAGTCAAGGTGGAAAAGATGCATGCCAAGGCGATTCCGGTGGTCCGCTTATGCTTAGGGCAGATGGCAGGTGGATTCAAATCGGTATCGTCTCTTTCGGTAACAAGTGTGGAGAACCCGGATATCCGGGAGTATATACACGTGTTACCCAATATATAGACTGGATTAAAACTAATCTAAATCGAGCATGAGCAACTTTTCATTCTCCACAAATTTATTTCATCTTCTGTGTTTCTACGACAATTTATTACCTGTAATATATAGTTTGTATAGGCTGTTAACAAATTATTTTTCACGATTGCTACAACGTAATTCTATACCTTCGAATCAGTGCAATTTGTTAAAACAAATTGCCACAGGATTGATCTTGGGCATCGTTTTACGGGCAATTTTTCATTTTTTCTTTTATTGCCTCGTATTCTATTTATCGTACCAGAAGAAAAAGTTGCAAAGAGAAGAATAAATCATCCGTCGCACGATAACTGTTCCCTTAAGACAGATTTAGTGGCAAATATGTGCAATGAAATGCGTCAAATTGTGCGTTCATGCTTCTCGATCAATATTTCTCTACTATCGAGAGATTTCATTCGATACATCGAGTCCAAATTCAACATAATAATCCAATTATATTGTTACGTACTCACGCATATCGTACTTGCATCTCGTATTCAAATACACAATTACTTATGTCAATTCGACACGTGCTCGTATAATAAGTTAAACCATTTACAGCTAATTTCTCTGGAAAAACGGTTAATTTAGAATCGATAGTTCTTTGCAGTCATATTCTCTCCGTAACTGATAGAATACGGTACGATAAAAAAAAAAGAAAGAAGAAAGGAATTAACATTGAAAATCATACTGACTGTCAATTTTACTGTAATTTTCTTCAACAGGTCTCACTGATCCGAATGTCTTGAATCGCGATACAACTGTCGTGATGTGTAATTTTTTTACACTCTGTACATGAGAGTGCCAAGAATTTTTATTTATACCATTATTTATACGATTTATATGATCCCTGTGTATGTTATATACATTAGCGTGAATTTATGCGTCCGTGTATACCCGTAAATTCAAGATTTCTAAATTGGCAATTTCTCAATTATACATAATAATTATATATACACGCGTACACTTACACACACAAATGTGTAATAGATTAATAAATTAGAGATCATTAAACTAATTTTTCTTTTTAAATATATCCATCTGTCTGTCGGATAATGAACGAATAACTTACGTATATGTATGTGTATATGCATATCACTGGCATTAGCGTTACTCGATTACTACCAATAAAACGTTGCTCGTTCACCTTCTGTACATCATAATGATCAAATATCAGATGTCATATTTTATATATTTTCGTTTTGTATAAATTGACATCAGCTACAAGAATATGTCAAAAAATGTAGGTGCCCGTTAAAAAATTGACGCGTGGCTTTCATAATTCTTTTCAAAATCACCACGAGATTAAATAAATATCAACGTCATATGTCACCATTAATATCATATAATTTTTGTCTGAAACATTTTTTCCTATTACCCATGGTCTTTTTCAGATATTTCCGCGCTGGAGATAATTCACACACACTATATACATATATACTTATTACACGACACTTACACGAATACGACTGCAATCTCAATTCGTCCCTCAATTGTTTTATATTCGTTGGTTCGTTTATTTCTTTTTACCTATGTTTACCCGTTTAGCTGTCTATTATTAACCCTTTGCACTCGAGACTTTTTTCGCTTGCGCAAACCAGCAACTCGAGACGATTTCGGCCAAATTAGGGAAACATTTTACATGTACTTTAAAATCATTTATAAACAAACAAACGTATACAAATAATAAAATTTCACCAATTTATTTATTTTTATATCAAAAACAACAAAATTTGAGAAATATTATACTCTGTAATTAGTTTTTGTATGATATTTCGTTAAACAATACCCAAGATGCATTCTAGGTTCATCAGGACACGTATCACAATAATCTGTTACTTCCCGCCTACCTCCAGGCGTATTACGGTCAGAGCAAACCTTACAGTCCCTTTTCGGCCTTTTAAGTATTATCTGCAGCTTTCCATTGAGTCGGATGTCATCGGAATGCGACGTAGACGCTTGCTCACGATGCTAGCGATATGTTCCTCTCAATTGCTCAACAAGAATTTTTAAAAATCGCAAATGGCTCAGTGGATTTTCCCCTCTTTTAGTCTTTTCTTGTTTATAGAGAAGGTAAAAATTGATGAGGCAAATTTCCATGCCCCCCAAAAAAGCTTACGCCACCATTTCAGCGATTTTCGCAGAAAACAATACGTTGATGCATATTGATCGGCCCGATCAACACCACCCATATATTTTATATAATTCAATACAATCTTTGGTTTCTTGACGAGTACTTCCACACCACCTCGTCTAATTCTTTTGACCGTCAACATTCCTGTGTCACCCCTTGTAGTTAAACAAATGACAATCCTCCTGTCTTTCCACCCTAAAAGTAAGGTGTTGCCCTGGGCGCCGTATCAGCGCCGCTCGAGTTGCCACTTCAAATCAGCCGGGCGCCGTTTCGGCGCCGTTCGAGTGCAAAGGGTTAACTTATCCAACTAGGATGACATGTATATACATTGTAGCCATCGGTTATTATTTCACTGACTAAAATCCTTTCAAGTACATTTACTTGCAAAATCCACGCAATACGTTTTTTACTTTTATTTGTTTAAAAACCAAAACATAGACTGCTCAATCAACAACAAAGTGGAAGAAAATTATCCTTTAAGACTTGGAAACATAAGAAAGCTATTGCGTATCGGCAAATTTAAAAAAAGATAGAAATTGAACAACAGCAGAAGTTACTTGAAAATGTAGCAAATACAAAATGGAAAAAAATTACTTAACTGGTGCATTATAATTAGTTCAAAAAATTAACTCTCAAAATTTCGTATCATTTCTTAACAATTTATCCTTTTCCTCTCAAGACGCAAATACGCAAAAAACAAGAAAATAAATATCAACGAAAACAGAAGTTGCGTTCTAAAAAAAATTTCGAAACAGTTAAACGAACGAATTTGATAATGAAATCTAATTGCAATGGATAATCAATAAAAAACAAATTATTGGCGAATATATTTTAAATACGTCGAGAGATACGTCTTATTGTCAAACTTTTTATTATGGAAATCTGTATTTTATTTAAGATCGATCTAGATTTTTCCAAGGATTTTTTCTATACCATATAATTGTTGCACAACTTGAATCTCTAAACAAAATATGCTATTTTTCATATCAGTATTACTCATTCTAATTTTACATTCGTTGATATCTAATAATAAAATATAGTTCAAATATATAAGAATTCTAAAGCACATAACACTAATTTGTTTACTTTTCTCTAATGTGTAAAAACTGAAATTTTATTATTTATATCAATAATATATCAATATTATACTTTTTATGAATAACATAAAAGAGAAATTACTACTGCAAGTTTTATAAATTTATTTATAATTGGGAAAAACTATAAAAACACTATTATAAACATCAATGTAAATCAATATAAATTTATTGTATTTAAATTAAACAATGTTACCTTAACAGTCAGCTTTTTTAAATGTATTATAAACTCCTTCTAATAAGTACATATAGCATTTTGGTAAATTCTATTCCCAAGTACATAAGATACTTGTACATATCCATTATTATCTCCTTATATTGGTCTGAAGATTTCTATCTGCAATTTAAAGTATTTACTTTACCTCTGAGCCTTTATTAATAGGTTTAAAATTTTGAATAACCGGAGTTATATTACTCACATAGTGTTTAAACCTACTTTAATGTTATCAAAATTTACTTATCCATATACTTTGAATAAGAAGTAAATGTATCCTTAATTCTAAAAGTTATACATATAAACTGTGTATTTGCTTTTTTAAATGTAAATATTCTTTTTGGACATGTTTTATTATTAATTTAAATTGATCTCTTTCAAATTTATGTTTAAACAATTCTTATTTTAATAATAACTTTTTGCAATTTAATATAACAATTTGAATAATTCTTCAAATTTTACTTGCAAACGTTTTATTAGCATTATAATATTTATGATTTCAAATATAAAATAGTATTAAAAAAATTTAGACAATAATTTCTAATGATATTAACTACTACTAATATTATATATTAACATTATATATTAATACATACCAATATTTACATTTCTACCCTATTTTCAATTACTTTTCTTTATTTTATTGATGAAATAAATACGGTTTCAAATAAGACAAAAATTATAGATCGGTTCTTTATCCGGGAATGTTATTTCTTAAATAATAACGTTTCGATTTGCTCTATATATTAATAGGTTACAATATTTAGGCAAATTTTCAAACGTACCCGCAACATACATGATATATACGCTTTCATACAAATGAAGATGGGCTAATAAATATAACTCAATAAAGATTTTAAATGTGTTGTTTGATAATTATTATAATACAGCTTGTTTATATTTATGTATCAAATTTATAGTGATACTTCGTTTATTATTTAACAAAATTTATTGAATTTTTGCAACAATTTTGTCATTTACACTTACACACATATCTGTTTTACTTATTTTTACTTATTCTTAATTATTTTTAATCATTGCCTTTATAATTTTTTTATTTCTATATATATATACACACACACGTATGTATACTTTCTTATGTCAAGTATACGAATATTAACGTTAACCTAAAACTACTATTTGATATTTATTTTATTTTGGCTGAGAATAAGATAAATCAGCGATATTTGAACAAACATTATGGAAAAGGAAGGTAAATGATATTGAAATAATAAGTTGATAAACCAACTATGTTTTTCATCCATTATTTTTTCAGAAATTTGTCAATATTTTAATAGCATTATTAAAGATGAAAAAGATGTTTCTGCTGGAATGGCTGCTATTCGTACGTTACTAAAAGTTTTGGAGTATTCAAAATGTAAGAGTATACTAATAAACAATAAAATAAAAAAAAAAGAGAGTACACGCTTATTATATATTTTTCTTTTTCTTCCAGCTGAGACGGTTCAAGAGCTTAGATATTGCTTGCAGAATGCAATAGATGCAATGAGATCAACTGAAAATCCTGTGACTGCCATTGCATCTGGCAGTGAATTATTTCTTCGTTTCATAACTTTAGCTACATTAGATACTTCTGTGAGAATTATACTGTACCATTTTTGAGAGATCTTTCTTTTTGATAATTTTATATAATTTTACGAGTATATTAGAAATCTTAAACTACTTGTTCTACAATATTTGGTATTAGTCATTTGCAGAATGCAAGGGTATTATGCTCCATAGAGGAAAGATGTTCTATGAAAAATTAGTGGCAGCTAGAGGAAAAGTAGCAAAAGTAGCAGCACATTTTATTGCGGATGGTTATGTAATTTTCATTTAATTTCTAGTCTATGTTATAAAGAGCTTATTAGTTTAATATCATATTTTATTTTAGAAAATACTTACCCATTCAAAGTCTAGAGTTGTACTGCAAGCAATGAAGGAAGCTGTTGAAAGTAATAAAATATTTGAAGTATATGTAACATATTCTTCTCCGGATAATAGTGGGTAAATGTTCTTTGTTTAATGTACATAATAAATGTACAAAATATTTGTACAACAGTCAATTTTGAGAAAAATTTTCTTTATTACAAAAGAATGTCAACAAAAATGTGTATATATATTATTAGAATCCATTAGAATCAAAAATAATAAAAGATAAATTATTTATTTATATTTTTTATGAAAATACTAACAAAACTTTTTAATATGGCCATTTTTATTCAATATAGTCAATTTGATAATAAAAAGTAAATGTACATGCTATTTTTGTATTTCATAGAATTACTTTTAGATTCTATAATCACTCTAGATTTTTGTAGTATTAATGTTACTAAATTATTAAAAATAGTATTGGAAATTGTATTTCATTCTTGTAACTTTTATTTATCAGTCATACAATACTAGTTTACATCCCCTTTTTGCTTTATATTTTATAATTTTTCAACTTTCATATCTGTCAATAACTTTTTGAAATATGAACATTGGTTTACTTACAATTCCCAAATTTTTTGTAACGTATTTTGTAATACTAATGCAAATTTTTAATAATTGTTCTTTCACTTCAGTCTACTTTAGTATTATTACTGTTACATATATTTGAATAGAGTATTACCTCTACTGACAACACGTATGGACATACTATTGATAATTATATTTACATTCCATAGATTATATATATATTCATTACAAGATATATAAATAAGAACTGTATTAATACTTATTATAATTACATATTTTATTATATTTGAAGGTTTTATTTTAATACTTTTTTTTTTAATACTTTCATAATAAATACAAATAAAAATTTATATTTAATCGTTTTTCTTCTATACATTTTTAAAAATACATATACACTTCTTTTGTAATAAAAAAATTTCTATAAAATTTTGTTAAAATTGACTATTGTATAAATACTTTTACATTGATGACATGATTCTCTTTTTGGTCTTCCTCAATGACTAGGCAAGAAATGTATCAAGATCTAACAAAGTTAGGTGTATCTTGCACATTGATATTAGATTCTGCAATGGGATATGTTATGGAACAAGTTGATATGGTCATGGTAGGAGCAGAAGGAGTTGCAGAAAGTGGAGGTGTTATCAATAAGGTATTATGCAATTTCCTTAATTCGTCATTATAGAATTTTTGATTGATCTTTTATACTTCTCATTCATAGGTTGGCACATATACAATGGCTATGTGTGCCAAACAAGTAAAAAAACCCTTTTTTGTACTAACAGAAAGCTTCAAATTTTCAAGAATATACCCATTAAATCAAGTTGATGTGCCTAATGAGTTTAAGGTAACATTTCATTTAAGATACATTTTTCATTGTTTTGAACTGACATAACATATATTTAAAAAATCATTTTTTTCCCATCTTTCCTCTTACAGTACACAGCGAGCACGTTAAAAAAAGATTTACAAAAAGAACATCCATTAGTTGATTATACACCACCACGTTATATTAATCTTTTATTTACTGATTTGGGGATATTAACACCTTCAGCTGTAAGCGATGAACTTATTAAATTATATTTATAAAATGTATGTATTACGTCAAAGTATATATAGATAATTCTAATAAAAGTATAAATAGAAATAAAATTGTTTAAACAATAAAAGTAATAAATGTTTAAATACTTTAAAGACAGAAATTCAAAGTTTATAAAAGGTTTAAATTTTATTAATTTTTAAGATAATATTGAGTATTGTAAGATAGCACATAGTTGATTGGTTCCAATCACAATTTGGAATAATACAATAGCGAAGTTTAACCATTTTGAATAATTGTAAATTTCTTCTTAGTTAAGATTTATCAGAGTACAACATATCTCGCACAATACATACGTATGTGTATATATGTATATGTGTATGTGTATGTATATATCTATACACATGATTATTATTAGTAAAAATTAGTTATTTGATGCATCGTAATAGTTAAATATACATCACGTATTGTATAACAATAACTAATTCTATAACTTTTGATGAAAGTAAGAAAACCTGAAAGTCAGTAAGTTATATATTATGAAAGTTAAATTTAAAAAATTTTCATGTGCAAATGAAAATTATGATGTAATATTTGTTGATAATTTTATTTCCTTGTTTCATATACTGATTTAACATGTGTTCACCATACTTATTATGGATATTTATACTGAATGAATAATTTACGACCTAACATTCTTGATTTTACCATTGAATACTGGTTAAAATTTAATTATTATTTGGACGGATAAGTAATATAAAAAATTTTAAGACAGGACTATTATTAGAAAGGATGAAGAATATAAACAATAAGAAAGGTACCAATATTGAATCACTCTGTAAGTTCCCGAGATTTTTGAACCTCCCATTTTAAAATAAACTAAGTGCAATTTCACGTAAAATTACATCGTAGTACGATACGTATTCACACTTTCTATTCACAATAATGCATAAATATATTGGAAGAATAAAAATATCAATGACTTACTATGAAAATCTTGTATCTTCAGTTATAAATTACATTTGATTTCGGCTAAATAGAATACGTTTTAAAATCGGAAGAAAGAATCGGTCTATCCTAGAATGCTAACGCATGGAAAAAATATAATGCATTTCCAAGAGAATAGGTAAAGAAATAATAATATTTACAAACAAATATTTTATAATAGACCACTTATTGTCGGTTACTATAATGCTGTTATTTTCTGTTTCTCGATTTTATAACTAGTGATACTTAGAAAAATATATGATAATTATCTAGATTACGAAATACAGTCACCGATTTTCGGTGAAAGAGAAATATTGATTTCGAGAAATCAATATTTTGAACTTTTTGTTATACACATAATCGTCACTCAGCTTTAGTTTCCAAGATATTCACAATCATTTGGAAAAAATTTATTAAAAATATCGATTGGTATAACATTCAAAAATCATCAAAATCGGTATTATGTTCTCTAATTCAAGAAATTACTAGACATTCTTGCCTGTGAAATTAACATATGCATACATACATATACATATAACATATTTCTTATTTCATTATGATTATTACTTGAAATTTTCATAGCAAATCATAGATATATCATGTACATACGTTTTAATGATGAGCATCATTTTGTAAAGCTCGAAATCTGAGCTTATACTTATTTACGTATATATTATAAGATATATACGAGAAAATTGATAACAAACAATGCAAAAAGAATGTTATTTGCGATACAGGTTAGTACGAATTTAAACTTATCTATAAATATGCTTGAGAGAGTGTCTCAACAACAGTGTATATTTGATCGAAGTGAGGTCGTTTATCCGGTTCATATTCCCAGCATCGTAACATTAGGCGGTATATTTCATCAGGTGTATTTTCTGGTGCTGGCATTCGATAACCTAAAAACATGTAAATAAATTTTTATGCAAATTTTATGGAAAATATTTAAGCAACAATTATTATTATTATTATTGTTATGAAAAATCTCAATTTAAATGCCCAATTTTTGGAACAAGGCACGGACAAGTTACTTCATTCCTCTATTATTATTTTAAACCACTGCACTATGAAATATGCGTCTATTATTACCGATTCCTGTAATATTATATATTTATGAATTATTGAGATTTAATTCTTTTATTACTATAAAAAATATTTTTTCAATAACTGTTGTAGAATATATTATGACTGTAATTATTTTAGCTGTGTTTTGATATCATATTTATTGTATTTCATGAGCAAAGACTATATAATAAAGATATTGCAAAAAGTACTTTTGTATTTTTCTTCAATGATTATTTTAATGGATATCTTCCTGTGACATGGGATATGGACTCTTGTGACTATTTCCTAATATGTGTTATATAATCTACAATTATCCGATTTAATTATATTTTTTATTGTGTATTTTTAATAGTTTTTGGTTTTAATGATTTAATTCTGATTTGCTATCATAAATCTCTTAGTTTTTATCAAGATAATTTCTTTGGATAACCATATATTTGATACTTTATGGTACCCTTATTGTAATTAATGAGGATGTTTATCATGTAGAGGTTTTTGCTTCCCAATTGTCTATTTTTGTTTTGTTGTTAACTGTTTTCTATGAGATCAACATTGTTGTTATTAATGTACAATATTGTACCTAAAGTATTGATGCTATATATTGCCTTATTAGGTTGTCATTACTTCTGTTGATAAAATAAGTTTGTAAATTTTTAATGTCAATAATTCTTCTTTCTTTGACATTTAAGTTTAATGCATACCTTTCATTGGTTGATATTACATGATGTACTTTGTATTTATTGCATATTGCCTCAGTTATTGCATTGAGTACCTTTAGTTCAATATTTGACCATTTCATTGTTCTAAACAAATATTTTTCATTTTGCTTTAATCAATTTCAATATCTTAATTGGATTCTAGGTATTTATAATTTTCTTTTAATATTTCAATCTTAGATAACTGAGGATATGATTCCTGATTCTTGTTTCTCTTGTATTATGCTATGGATTTTGAATTTGTTTATTCCAAATTTTATGTTGTTATCTTTACTAAATCTTTTTATGATTTGAAATAAATAATTAAATTGATGTTGAGTAGTAGCAAATAATTTTATACCATCTGTGCATAATAAATATACTATAGCAGTGTCCACTTAAATGTCCATAAATCGAAATCGACCGTAGTTATTTAAGCGGAGAGGTTTATTCTTGGTATTGTCATATGCAAACAAGCAAGAGTGAGAAACTATATATTTCTCGTATTCCTTTGTATTCCTTACCTATACGTCGCAATTCAACTCGAGTGACGAATACTAGGTAATGGTAGAAACAGTTAAGAAGATAACACTGTATTTTGATTTTGTTCCCTCTCTGAATTATATAGCCATAGTTACTATTATTTAAGCTTTGCAATACATGGTTTACTGCTAGGCAAGATTAAAACATGCTTAGGTAATCATCCTGAAATATTCTGCGACTTAAGATCATCCCCTTCTGCTGTTTTAACATAGAGCTGCATTCAACATTTTTTCGTTATCTTTGCAAGAAAATAGATAAAATTGTTTTCTATTTTGTATATTTTCGCAGTATATACCAACCACAAATGTAGTAAATTATTATATACGTTTTATAATATAATTTTGTTTAATCTGTGTCTATGGTAACTTATTCTTTATAACCTTGGTAACCTTTATAGCAATTATTTTGCTGCTTCACCATGATTCTGCTGTATTTTATGTGTTTATACATTTTGTTTGTTATGATGGATATTAAAAATTTACAGATTGTAGGAATGTTTGTGTTCAGAATGGTAAGATTTTACTTGGATCTTGAATAACTGTGTTGAAAATTCTTGTAAAAAATTTATATATAACCGTAACATTCTTTTTTTCACCAAAAGTAATGAATTTTTTCAAGGCCTGATACTTTTCAATTATAAAATTTTTTAATCACTTTGGTGATATCTTCCACTGTAACAATACATTCTATTACAGATTTTATTTCTTGTATCTTATTTTCTTTAACTACAATTCACGTTGCTTTTCTTATTGTACTCTATTGTATGTAATCAGATATCGCTTCAAAAATTAGCAATGTCATTCATATTTGGTGATTCTTTGATAGTTATCTCTTGATTTGCCAATCTATAAAATAATTTTTGGTTACTATGAAGTGTATTTCTCCTTTTATGTCTTTGGTAGGACTTTTGGTATCTTTTTAGTCTCTTGGCTTTTACTTATAGTCTTTGTTGTTTTTTTATTTAATTCTTCCTTAATTGCTTCAACATTTTTATTAATTAGATTGACTTCTTCATTTTTCTTCGAGTCGTCGAATCTTCTTTGTTCTTTTCCAAGTAGATGTCACAGTACATAATTTGTTAGTTGGTCAATTTGCCTTTTTAGTTGTGTAATATTATTTTTTTAAGCTTTGTTTCCATGCCGACTTTTTTCTTTTTATGATTATGATTATTATTATTATTATTATTATTATTGTTATTATTATTATTATTATTATTGTTGTTGTTGTAGGATGCCACTTCGGGGAAAGAAATTGCGAATCGGTTAATGCCGATTCGGAATCTTATTTTAGGAAAACAAATTGTAAACCGGTCAATGACCTATGCATGGCATTATTTTAGAAACATATCGAACATCAACTGCTACCGTTATGAAAGGCTATTTTTAGAAATAAAGCTGCATGTCCTTACTCGGAAGTGAAACGCAGGTCAACGGCATCGTAATCGTCGCGGGGAGCGAATCGCATATCGGCAAGGTTGGATGATTTTTACGACGACAAATCGCGAATCCGAAAAGTGACGTAATTTTTATGAGAACAAATAGTTAATCGGCTGAATCATATCAGTCAATTAGCGATTGATAAAAGCATGTCATCAAGCTTTGCAAAAGGCATAAAAACAAGACCCTCAACGACACAGGAACAGTCCTGAGTGGAGAAGCCTTGAATCACGAAGGCGTTAAACATAGGGGGGCAGGGAGGGGAGAAAGAGAGAGCGTTTTTTCGTGTGTATAGTTACGTTATTTTAGTATTATTTTCTTGCGTTTAATCAGTTTCCGAATTTCGCGTTCGTTCTGTTCATATTGTTCTGTCCGTTTCCAGTGTCTCAAACCGTTCGCGCAGACTCGATATTCCTTCGATAAAAAAAGGAACACATATATATTATTTCTGTAAGCTGAAGATAAAATGAAACCTGTTTTCGGCATCCTACATTATTATTATTATTATTATTATTGTTGTGGTTGTTGTTGTTGTTGTTGTTGTTGTTGCTGTTGTTGTTATCATGGTCGTTGCCATCGTCGTCGTCGTTGTTGTTGTCATTACTTTTATTATTATTATTATGTCTTATGTATAGTATTATATATTAAATATCATCAATGTGAAGAAACAATCGAGCACAGTATGGATGGTTATAAAGTATTTGCTGGAACAGAATATACAAATGGATATGACACAACACAAAGATTATACAGCAATAATTAGCTGTAAAACACCAAATAACACAAGCATATAGATCAAATTACAAATATAATCTCCAGAGAATACTTAAAAAGTATAGTTCCAAGTTATACTAGACATAACTATAAACACGTATAAAACAGATGTATGCAATAAGCCAGATATTATACTTGTCAACAAAAAAAAAAGAAAAGATAAACTCTACCGAATCATCATTGCGATATTAAACAAAGCAAATGTTACACAAAAGAGGCAAGAGAAAATTACATGATACACATTATTGTTAATGAAAATAAAACAGATCTGGAAAAAAGAAATAACAGGAATAGTACCTATCAATATTCATATTCACTACAGACATAAGAGCAAACAATTTTTCAAAATATATTACAATATATTTAAATACTTGTATAAACATAAACATGCAACAAACAGTAATATTTAAAACCATGATAATTAAAAAAATACCATAGCAATAGCAAAGGAATATATGGCTTGGTAGACAAATATCCCACTGTGTGCTTAAACTACAAAGTAGGAACAGAAAAATACAATAACGGAAACAACGACGACGACGACGACGACAACAACAAACAACAATAATAGCAGCTGCAATAATGATAATGATGATAATAATAAACAATGCAAATGTAAAGTAAACGTTACCTGCGTCTATCTTTTCGCGTGCTTGAGAATTTGACATTCCACTATACGGATTTCCACCTTTAGAGAATATTTCCCACATTAAGATTCCATAACTCCATACATCACAGAGGGACGTATATTTGCCTAGAAGACATTACAATGAAAACTAATATCAGAATTCTAAAAGCACATGTAGCATGTTATATTTTTTCAAATACCGAAATTTAATGCCTCTGGTGCAGTCCATTTAATTGGAATTTGTTTCATACCATCTGAAACTATATATTCTTCTTCCTCACGTGACATTCCAAAATCTGATATTTTTACTATGGACTCATACCCTAAAAATAAAATATATTAATTCTCATATTCTTACAATGCATATATTCTATAAATGCTTTTTATAACTAAAAACATGTTCACTTACCCACGAGACAATTCCGAGCAGCTAAGTCCCTATGAATACAATATTTAGATTCCAAATAGCACATACCTGCAGCTGCATCTTTACACATTCGAAGTTGTTCTTGTTGCGTAATAGTATTAGCATTTTTTCTTAGATATGTTAACAGGGAACCACCTATTATACATATTAATTTAGTATCGACAAAAATTTACATTATATGATTGGAAAAATGTTCATTTTCAAAAATTAAAAGTTATTTACTTAAATATCTTCTACTTAGATTGATCAGTAAATTAATTTAATCAACACACCAGGTACTAGTTCCATAACAATCATAATAGGTTGCTTTTGAACACAAATTCCAATAAGTTTAACTATATTTGGATGATCATATTGCTTCAATATTCGTCCTTCTTGTAAGAATTTACGTTTCTGTTCATCTGGTAATGTTACTTTGCAAGTTTTTACAGCCACTTCAGTCTTACAGGTTTTTAATTGGGCTTTATATACATCTCCAAAATTTCCCTAAAAATGTACAATGTTTTATGACTAAACATCTAATTTTACTTAATCTGTATAAACCTTTCAAACCAACAAATTTTCTAAACTAAATAATTCATATTAATTCAACTTTAATTTGGTTTTCAATTACAATGAACGTTTCATCAATTGTAGCAAATCTATATGATGGTGAGATGTTCTACTTTAAGGTACTTAAGAAACTAAATGTACTTTTTTTTTTTTAAATTTCAATATACCCGTCCTATCTTTTCTAGAAGAATTACATCATCATTATTAAGTTCCCAACGTTCACGTAAAATTGGTGTTTTGAGAATAGCTCCAGATCGACTGGTCACTGGTAATCCGGATATCCACTGATGTCTGATTAATTCTTGAATTGATGGAAATGTAGGGCCTTCAAATCTGTAATGTCCCTAAAATTAATAAAAATACATACAAATACATTTGTTCCTGTGTTCCCTGCATAAATTATACTATGTTATTGAAAAAAAACGTAACTGATTGCTTACTTCAGGAGTAGTTTGCACAATAAAATGTTTATGCCCATCCCAGCAAACAGATAAAACTATTTGGCATTCATCATTTCTTGTTGTTTCGCGTACTAGAAAATCCCCTTCAGTTACAAGTAATCTTACAACTTCTTCTCTTGGCAAAACTCCATGAAACCATTCTTCTTCCATAAGTTCACCGTTTCCATTTCCCTTTTGACTGGACATTTGCGAATTTCCACGAAATGGAACCTATAACAATATATATGTAATATTTCATCTAACATGTAAAGATTAACCATATCTAGAACATGAAAAATCATTTCCATTTCTATCTATCAATTTCAAAAATTACTATTAAATATATTGCAAATATTAGAAAACAGTTAAATGCAATTTATTTATACATCAAATAAACATGCTTACTATTAAAAATCACACGCAAATTATCAATTCACTTGTAAATGGTTTTTGACATCCATTCTGTTTTAAGCATATCAGATTATATGTGATAAAAATGAAGCAATTACACAAAAAACATTTATATCTATATAACAAACGGGTAACATACAACTGGTAGAGTATTATCTGCTTTTGAAGTAGGACCTTCACTATTCGATCTAATCATGCCATCTTTTGTATCGTTTATTACTGGTAAAGATTTGAAAGGAGATTTAAATATTGTCATGAATCGTTGATTTCTTCGCAATGTAAACAGACCAATATCTGCAACTGTATTTTTCTGCAAGGGCAGTGGTGCTAACTAATATTAATCCTCTATAATAGATAGCTTTATATCCAAAAAAAATTACGAACAGAACAATGATATATAACTGTCTTGAAAATGATACCCAGAATACTTATAGAAATATTCAATAGTTTAGACACAATTCTAATTACCTTACTAATAGAAGACGAATCGGCAAAAGAACTTTCCATTGAAAGATCATATCCAAGTGGTAATTCTTCACAACCTAATTCATTTAAAGCAGCTCTAATAACGTCCACTTGCCGCTGAAGCTTTTTTTCTTGACAACGTAACCGTAACTCTTCTCGTTCGCGAGAATAATCCAAGGCTGATATTCTAGTATGTAATAAAGAAAATAAGAAACAAAAAATGGTAAATTTATTTTACACTAAATAATACCAAAGAATATATACAATTGATCTGCATATAACGCAAATTCATATAACACGACGAAAACATTGCAACAATATTCACTGAATATAATAAACACATTATAATTGATACATTTGATAAATTGAATATTTAGGCAAATAATTTAAACAACTAACTTGAATTTTGCTTCTTTTTCATTCAAAGAAATTTTATTTACAAATTTTACTTTTAAGGAGAAATTTTATTAATAGAGTAATGTCTTGAATAATAGACGCAGACTGTGTAATGCCTCCTAAAAGAGAAGATAGGGATTCTAAAAATTGTTGGTATGCTCTTTACTACAAATGAAAAACAATAAGTTTATATGAGATACAAAAAACAACTATATTTGACACTTAGCACACACTGAAAGTTTTGAAAACACAGTTTCAAAAAAAGGTAAAGATGATTTTGCACCTACTACAGTAGCAAAAATATGTTTTAGAACAAATTAATTAACACACTGAATATAATAAAGTTATATTCAAAATTAACTGGCGTTTTATTTCTTGAAATATAAAATCAGTGCAGAAATTCAGAGCTTTATTTAGATTTGTGTAAATGTATTCAAGTTCATATAAGCAAATTCACACAAAAATGTTGTATCATTTTCATATCAAAGCTGAAATTTGTAATGCAAATATAGTAAGGAGTAAAACTTAATATATAATCAAAAATTATCAAAAAGAAGTATTAAGTAAAGACAAGAAGATTAAATTCAACATTGCCAAATGTTTACTTGTGATTGTAGTAAACATAAAAATTTACAAAATTATTGAAATAAAATACATTTTATATACAAAACAAAATTGTTAAAGAGAAATATTTCATAACTGTAATAACAATAATTTATGGATCACACTTCCATAGCTTTACAAGAAATGTCTGATTTGAATGAAACTGTGTATAATTATACAGGATACATAAAAATTAGATCACGATTAATTCTATAACTTATTGTACAACTTAGTAATTCTACACCTTGAAAACAGTGAAGATTTGTTAAAAGAAGTTGTCACAAAATTGATCTTGAGCATCATTTTCAGGATTATTTTTTTTTTTTATTGGGAAAACGTACATGATAAGAACCATTAACAAATTAACCATTAAATAATAGTTTTTGTAAAATACATGTGTAAGTAGTATTCTGAAAACATCTGAATATTAGCTACAATAATGTAATAAAAAATGTAGGGTTCTATTTAAAAATTTCAATATGACCTTCACAGGACTCCAAAGTAATCCCATAGTCAAACAATTATTATCATATGTCTTCCTTTATACTTTACAACTTTTGCTTGAAACATTTCTTTTACTGATACTTACAAGTACTGTGAATTGAGCATCTACAAGAGCATAGTGCTAGCACTGCCGTACCCAAGCTAATTGCTTATACAGGCAGGTATTAGGGGTAAACATCCATACCTGGCCAATTATAAAAAATTGTATAAAAAATAAAAAAAGTATAAAATTGGTAATCCATAAATTCTTATTATTGCAGCTGCAGGGAAATACATTTCAATAAGTTTGAAAATTGTTTACATTTATTACAATAATAAGTAAGCAATTAGTAATATTAATTTTCATCATCTTACCTTTATTCAATACTTCCTTGGTTAACTTTTGTTACATGTTCAGTTTTATTCCTCACTGTAGATATAAGCTTGTTTACGAATGCTTTGGTCAGTCTGCATAACCCGTAACTACTGTATATACTGGGATATATAATCCATATAATTCATATAACACGATTTTTCTGTTATGTTGTACGAAAATTCGTTATATGAGGTTCCACTGTACAATAATGACATTCAATTATTCGAAAATATAATACTCTTACTTAGAATCACTGTTATTCTCTGATGGATACTGTGGATTTTGTCGATTCTGTTGAGTTGCTTTTAAAGACGTTTCTAGTTCTGTCAGCCGATTTCTTAACCAATCTATAGTTAAATTATCTACTGTCAATTTATTTGGCAATAATTTTCCTGATGTATCATCCACAAGGTTCTCATCAAATATAAATCTTATTGGCGATGCTGGTCGCGTTCTATATCGGGTATTAACAAACTTTTAATATCGTTCTTATTAAATTATAGCCACAAAAGCAAATTTAAAACAAATACCTATGCTTCCCTATAAAATCCTTGTACTCTTCTATAGGTTTTACAGAATCGACAGCTTTTTGCATGCGCCTATGTATCTCTTGAAATTTATCTGTTGTAAAATCAGAATATTTCACTATATCCTGAAGTATTGTTTTCCTATCATATAAAGTACAAAATTTTTATATGTACAATACAATATATTATTATTAATAATTATTAATAATTGTTATACCTTTTTTATCACTAAATGTTTACATAAAAATTTCATATAAAATGAATCATTAATCCATGAAGCAGAGTAAATAAATATATGATGAACTCTTTTAGAATCTAAAGTTAATAAAATACTTACCATGATGTTATAAACTCTTGATGAATCGCCTGCTGCTGATGAAGTAAACTTGGTAAATAACATGTTCTTAGGTCATGTTCACATTCCGTTACAGCACCCAAAAGTAATACATATTCATTGTGGGTAAGGTGAAGTTTTCTACAGGCTTTTTGATATTTTTCTCTCACTTCATCCAATTTTCTACCAACTCTACCCGCTAAACAGATATCAAGAGTCATAGCAAACAATTGTAAATTAATAAATAATATAACTGCTTACATTTGACGTAATGTTCTTCAAAGCGAGATCTCATTAATTTGTACATTTCTAGATTCTTCTGATATTCTAATTTTTTTCTGGCAACATCTTCAGTTAACTAAAAGATAGAATAGACATATAGCATATAAGTATATGGCATATAATACCCTTAATATAAAGTTTTTCATTATTTTGTATACTTGTTGAAACTGATTGTTCAGCCATGTTTGTTCTTCTTGATATAACTTTCTAGCTCGTCTTCTTTCAGAATATAATGTTGTAATGTGTTCAACTACTATAGCTTCAATAGAATCTGCTTGTTGTTTTATTAATTTTGCAGTTTGATCAATGGAATCCATAATATCTCTCCAACTCTAGAATGTAATATTATGTAAGGAAATACTTCTGAAAAATTACTATAAACCCATAGAAAACATAGTAAATATGAATTTCGATTTTTAATACATACCTGTACTATTAGACTACCAACGAGATCTTCGTTACGTTCAATCTTTTTCCCTTGCATAGTTAAAGAAACGATGGTCGAAGCATACTCACGGTCTGATTTAACTTTAATCGTTAAACACCGTCTCATTGTTTCCAGAAGTTTAATTTCAGCATCTTGACGAGCAAGTAACGCCTCGTGTGATGACTGTCCTTGTAAACTCGTAGAAAAACCCATCCTGTCTGTGGGGTAAAACTAAAAATTGCCGTCTTACGGACTCCTTCAGACGTGTCACGAACAAAAATTCATTCTTACACTAGATGAATTTAATGACATTAATGGTAGCAAACAATACAATGAAGTTCAACAAACCATTCATCGAAATATAGCATTGCAAACACAAGTTTATGTGCACATTATTTAATTAATCTTTTATATATTTATCATGTACTAATCTGTACTTCGATTCTGTTGGCTGAGCTCAACACTTATATTTATACATCCTCACGCTGTAAAAATTTACTTTTATTCGTGAAATACCGTCATGAAATAGCAAATAAAATAGACAGTTTATTAGACTTCGGTGAAAATAGAAACGAATTAATATAAAATTATGTATACATTACAAAATCACACCAATAGTTTCTCTGTTTTTTAAAGTTATATTATAAATAATTCAAAAGAATTTCATTTTAATTTCATCTATTCAATGAAAATGTAAAGCAGTTATATTTAAAATAAATAATATAGTATTAATATAATTAAAAGATATAAAATATTAATGGAAGGTTTTCAAAATTATTAACGAAATAACTTTTTAGTATGTATCGTTAATCTATAAATTTTATTATCGATACTTAAAATACATTAGGTTGGTTTTCATGAAAATCACAATCGGGGCTTGCTTGTAAGAAACTAAGAACACTAGTGAATTAGTGAATGAAGTTTAACTGGGGTTGAACGCATAGTTCAATTCTAATACGTAGCAAGATGTTTGGTAGAATGCAAGGTCTTACATGGGAAAGTTTAAAAAAAAATTATATGGTATGTAAAAAAACAGTTGAAAAATCATACAGTAATATATTTTTCATTTCTCTTCAGCTAATACCATTATTCTTTTGCATCGGATTTGGGGCATGTGCAGCTTCAGGTTATATATTACGATGCGCTATTAAAAGTCCTGATGTTGCATGGTCTAATAAGAGAAACCCTGAGCCATGGAATGAATACAAAGATAAGGATTACAAGGTATTTTATACGTATAATAATATTAAATATGGGTAAGATGTAGATAGTATTTTTCTGAACAATCGTTTGTAATGATTTATTAGTTAGAAATTATTAATTATCCAATTTTATTTTTACTTTCAGTTTATATCAATTCAGGATAAGAGTAAATACAAAACTTTGCCTCCAGAATATTGAAGATTTTCTTTATAAACTGGTATAAGTTAGGTAAAACTTGATAGAAATCAAGACAATTCATAATTTATATTAGTATTATATTACTAATAAGCATTATGAATAGTGCTAGTAAATTATGTAAGCCTTGTGTCATTGTATTAAATATATTGTACAAAGTTGAATAATATTTAAACATGAAATAAAAATTTGAATATTAGTAGTTTTTATAATCCATTGATACTGTAAAAGTCAAATACATTATTACATATTTAACATTATTATTTTGCTCCGTAAAAATAGTTTTACACTGTAATATGTTCAATAAAATTTTGAAGGAAGGGAGGTATGGGTGGATCATAAACATAAATTGTTAAGTTTAAATATTTAATAGCTTTTGAGATAATAAATTTTTTTATGTTATATACTATAATAGTAAGTTTAGTGTATTTTACATTAGTATATAAGTTTTATTTATTTATATTAACTCCATCAATTTAGTATTATATATAAATTTTTATAATTGCAAGATCATATTTATTATATATAAAATTCTTTGACAATTTTGTTTTATATGTAAAGTTATTTTTTTTCAAATTTCATATGATATTTATTAAGTAATAATATCATAGAGCTTTAACATAATTTGTAAGGAAAACTATGTTATTTTCGAAGATAATAATTATATTTCTATGTTTTTATTTTCCATAACTAAAGAATTATTATGGAAGAAATAAATGATTTCTGTTTCTTGTAAAAATTAAATATCAACAAAATATTCTTATACTTGGTGCTTACATTTTATAGAAACTAATATTTAAAGATATTTTATTGGATTATGTTCAATGACATATTGGATTATGTTTTATTAAAATGTCTAATGCTTATAGTCAATACAATACTTTCACAAATGATACTAATTTGAAATGTTAGTTTTGTAATTTGGGAATTATAAACATATTTTATATAAATTAACTTATAACTAGTAATATGAAAATTTTTATTTATATAGACTTACAATTGCAATGCTATTCTCTAATACAGTTTCATAATTAATTGCATAACTTTTTCCTTCAATAACTAGTTATTCTAACCTTTTTCCTGTACATACCAGCTTTTGTTACAAATCATTAATTTTATCTATTTCAGGTTTCTGAAATAAACCTGATTAACCTAAAATATATATATATATCATTTTTAAATATTTCAATTTCAATACATATATTTTGTTAAAATCACTATAAATATCTCACATATCATGCATGACAATACTAAACTATTCCGAGAATTTACAAAATATATATTACATTTATAAATATTAGTACATTATTATAATATTTATCTATTATTTATGTATAATTAATTAAAAAATTTGTATATTAATATAACTTAAAAAAGGAAGAAGAAAGGGGTTAATTATAATTTTAAATACAAGCCTGCGTTATTGAAAATCGGACTCTCATATAAGCAGTGTTGCCGCATTGTTCAGTACGGCTCGAACTAAAGTCGGTTATAATTTTTTTTTCTTAATAATAAATTTTGTCGACATCGTTGTGAATATAATATTTATATATCTAGGCAATATAATCGAAATTATAATATTTAAGAAAATTGAGTAGATTTTTTAATTTTATCGTAATATGACATATTGCTGCATTATTTTTAGATAAATATGTATTTGTGAATTAACTGTCTTTTATGGAAATTTGTTGATTTATTTTATATCGTATAAGATTAATTTATCTCCGAAGCAGGACGTGACACACTAACATTGATTAACACAGGTAGGATATATGTTTCATAGGTGTGTTTTATTATATTTAACGAGGTATTAATTAGCCGAAACTATTCGAACGCTGCTCAATATTAATAAATATTCTTTTTATTAATATTATGGTATCTATCTATTTTATAACTTACATGTGTAATTCAGTTTGTAAATTTTGAAGTTATAAACTAAAACCATCATTTACTTAATTTATATGATAACAAATATTTTCTCGATAAAAAAAGAGCACTGAATTTTCTTGAAATTGCAACTCTAATTATATATATAATATGGACACAACTTGGGAAGATTTTTATGCCAAACATCCACCGCCTCAAGATATTGATCAAAATGAAACGATGCTGAGGGCATTTGTAATGCGCCAGTTAAAAAGAAATAATAAGGTCGTATTAGTAACAGTGAGTGTTTATATAGCTGTATGTTACATTATCATTACTTAAAATTAGCTCATATTAATTTTGTAGAGTGGTGGTACAACAATACCTTTAGAACACAATACAGTAAGATTTGTTGATAATTTTAGTGCAGGAACAAGAGGGTCTGTATCTGCAGAATATTTTCTAGAAAATGGATATGCTGTAATTTTTATATATAGGTACTTTATACCAATAGATACTTAAGAGCATAATATATACATTTTAAGTTAATATCTATATGTAATTTATCTATTTGTAGAGTTAATACTCTGGAACCATTCTCAAGATACTTTAAGGGACAGAAATTTTTAGATATGTTAAAAATTAATGAACAAAATGGAAAATGTATAATCACAGGTATATATCTCTTTTATATCAAAAAAAGACTTTTTAATATTTTTAAATACTAATAATATAGTAATTTTTAGTCTTACCACAGTACACAGAAAATTTAACAAAAATATTAAATAAATACAAAAAAACTTTGGATCAAGATAAATTATTACAACTCACTTTCACTACTCTTTCTGAATATCTTTGGCTGCTTCGATCTGCTTGTCAATCATTAACTTGTCTTAAAAATAAAGCAATTTTATATCTCGCAGCTGCAGTTTCAGACTTTTATATTCCATCAAATGAATTGGTACATGCATATTTGAAATTTTTTATTTTATATGCAGGCATACACACATATATATAAATAATTTTCAAATTTTCAGGCAGTTCACAAAATTCCTTCTAATGCACCATCAACAATATCCCTTCAATTGGTACCAAAAATATTAGCACCACTTGTAAGTTTGTGGGTTCCAGAAGCTTTTGTAATATCATTTAAATTAGAGACTGATGAAAATCTGCTAATTTCAAAAGCAAGAGATGCATTAAATAAATATAAACACAATGTGAGTAATGTCAATGAAATGGAAAGAAAATAAGCTAATTTTTTTTCTACACGTTGGAACTATTTTATTACAGTTGGTTATAGCCAATATGTTACAAACTCGAAAACAACAAGTAACAATTGTTAGTCAAGAGAATAATTATGTTATTTCTCTTACTAATGAGCAGTTGGCTAAAGGTGAAGAAATTGAACGATTGATTGTTAGTGTTCTCATTGATAAACATCAAAATTTCATACAATCAACTGAACAATGTAATTAACATTTCTGTATATTCAATTAATAAAATGCATTTTTATGTAAACACTATTGAATAAATATCAAACAATTGTATTTTTTTGCGTTATGAGTGATTTTAATAGTAAATTGGCATGTATTGTCTTCTATGAAAATTTGCATGAAGGTAAATTAAAACATATTAATTTTATTATTTTTCATATAGTATTATTTACATGTTAAAGTAAGTATAAATTCATGCATACACACGTATTTAAGAAGTTTTGTCATTACATTATGCATGATTGAGGTTTTAATTTAGCAGTTATATTTACATTAATAGTTACTTTTTATGAAATGTATCTAATAATACCTTTTACAAATTAATCATTGATTCAGTATCATATTGATAGTAATAAGATATTAATATTCAAGACTTGTTTTATAAATATATTAATTTTATCAATTGTCCATCTGTTGTTTTGTATCTTTTTGTTCTATTGTTGTTTGAACCATCTCATTCATCATTCTGCAAGAATATATAATTTTCTGATGTCGTTCATGATCAATAATAAATATATTATATTAATAATGATTTATGGATATTTACTTTAACTTGTCTAAGTATTTTACTTTCAATTCATCTCTTATTTTAGGTAAATATTTTCTTGCTTCTTTTTCTTTGTTATATTTTAAACACTGATCTATAAAAGGCTAAAATAAATGAGAAAATACCTTTTCAAATAAAAATTTTGTACTAATATTCATAAATAAAATGTATCTAATATTATGAGAAAATACCTCGTAACCAATAGGGGATTTTCTACTTTTAGAAAATTTTTCTAATTCATCCCACATATCCTGTTCCGATAAACATTGTATTCGTAACCACCAATATCTAAAAGTAATTTCTTGAATTTTATAAATTGTCAATAATATGAAACAGTATTAAAGTATTATATAAAAATTATATACATTTTCAAAACATGTATGCTAAAAAAAAGTCCTACCTTCGATCTGATATTCGATACTCCGATCTTAATTTGTCAGCTAATTTTAATTCATTGTGTAATAGTAATATTTTTACTGTATCATGAAGTGGTTTTCCTATGATTGATTTCTGCAACAATTCTTCTATGGATCTTTGATACCGTAACAATTTTATTTGTTCTTCTGTTAAAGCAGCATTAGTATCATTACAAGCTAATTTGAAATTATGTAGTGCACATTGTAACAATGCTTCTCTTGACATTGTATTCTAAAAAACATGACATAAATTCTCATGTGAAGTAATTATACATATTAGTACATTTAAATAATTGATTACATTATGATCATATTGATTTCTACGAACCTTTCGCTGATAACTTTCAGTAATAGACCATATCGCTTGAGAATGAAAATCATCATACTGATTATAAATATCACGTAGTGTTTCCCGATTATGACTCTGACAGTATTTAATGTATAAGGCCATCGCTAAAGGACAATGCATTATGGACATCTGGGAGGGATTAGCAAGAAGAATGTTGAGAATCGAATCTCTACCATTCTTGGATTGAATGATAGTAAAATGTTTACCTGAAAATCACTAAGAGGCATATTCTCTCTAAAATGAAGAATAACAGTATAAACCAAATCAGTATTTCCACTTTCAACAGCTTTATGTAAAGCAGCTCTTTCTTCACCGAGTGTTAATAAAAGTGGTACTTGTTGATGGGCACGTGGTTCATAGTCTATTAACTAAAACCGATATGGAAGAATGGGAAATATACTAACATAAATAAAAAGGTACTTAAGAATTAGTTGTTTAATAACAGCAATTTACTTTAATTGCTAACTGTTTTCGGCCACATTCAGCTGCTTTTTTCGCGATTTCACTATAAGAAACACCAGGTGCATATCCTAGTTTATCAGCGATTTCTTCCGCTATTTGCTTCTTGTCCAATTGTGTTTGTTTTACCTAGAAGAAAAATAAAAAATATGTTACAATTACTATTTTACGACATCGTATGATTGAACAAGTGAAGTTTAGTAAAAAAATATTACCTTATAGCAAGCCCAATGAGCTAATATTCTACTTTCTCCTTCAACCTCTGGTAACTGAAGATGCCGTGCAATTTGTATGCTTAAATAATAATGTCTTCTAGCAACAAGTCTATCTAATAATACTTGATTTGTGAGAATGGTAAATCTATAGTTATTAAGGTTTTTTTCTTGTTACTGAAAAATATGCAATCGAAATAGTTATGGAATGGCTAAAATGTTAATTTTGTTTGAATGCAATGAGATATTGTAAAAATCAGATTGAAAAGTGTCAAGCAATATGATTAGACTACTTTTCTCTCTATGAAAGTTACTGCAGTTATGTTAAATAGCTTACATCAAACATTTTTGTAATTATGAGTTTATCAAAATAATTGTTTTACAATTTAAAATTATCATAGACGTTTTTGTATTTGTCAATAGAAAAGTTGTTAATAAAACTAAACTTAGTAGTGCAACATTAATTACACATTGTGGCTGACTGTGGTAGCATTTTCTATTAAGTGGTAAAATAATTATTAAATAACGTGAATTAAAGGATACTGTGTGTATGTTAGTGGTATTCCTATTGCAGGATGTCTTACTGCATTTAGAACTCTTAAAGTTCGACACATATTAACGTAATATTCAGGATTAACTGTCTTGCTAAATCCTTTTCCAAATTTAGCAGCCTAAGCATTATGAATAAAAGTAATTAATATACGTGCATGTATATATTCATAAAAGTAAGATTAAAAATAAAAGAAAATATATGAATATCAATTAAAGATTTTACCCTCATTAAGAGTTTTTGTGTTTCAAAATCAAATTCATGACTAGCTCCATCAATGCAAGCTTTTATTGCTGCATCCAGTTTGTCTTTTACTAAATCTATATAGCTATCAGCTTTATGACTTTTTTTTTGAAACTGTTTAGATGCTTCTAATAAATAAGATGCAGGGTCTGTTGAATTAATTCGAAATATTTTTTGAACAACATTTGGTACTTTTTGTATCATTTCATGAGAAGAAGAAGATAATACGCGCACACTATCAATCTCTGTAATAAGATGTACTGGACCATCATAAGTGTATATTATAGTTTTAGCTGTTCGTCCAATAACCATTACGGTATTGTTCCAACTACATATTACAGCCTCTGTTCCACACCTACAAATTTCTGAATAAGCATTATCAAAATAATTACTATGGTATTACATGCAAATATTATGCAAATATATTAACCAGGTTATATTTCCTAATGGTTCTTTCGTGTTTGCATAGTATTCGCAATATTTTTCGTTAAAATCTACAGAACCTATGTACAAATGACCTGTATCTATATAAAGAGCAATATGACGATTGTTTTCAGATACAACCATAGCAATCACACTACATGCCTTATTGTACCTAGTAAAAAGGTTATCCTAAAAATACAAAATTCTTTTAAACAAAGAAAAAGCTTGCTTAATTTTGAATATTTGAAATATTTATATCATACAAATGGTATATGAGTTGCAGTTTGGTAAGACTGATGTATAATGAATATTCCATCTTTGTTTGATAATATTACACATGTTTCTCTATTAAGATGGACTAAACACCAACATTCAATTTGTCCACCATATTCTGAAAAACAAAGAAACAAAGAAACTATGATATAATGATAGAAGTTCAATGCTCGATTTAAGAGACATTGGACATAATACTTTTGCTTACTTGAAATTTCTGATATTTGTCTAACTTTTGGTTCGACTATATTATTTACCAGAAATATACGATTGGTAGATGTTAAAACTGCGATACCAGTTCCACTATAAGTAATAAAAAGTTTTGCTTCTACAATTTTAGTATCTTTTACCTCCTAACATAAAAAAAGCAAATACTGTTATAATTTCAATATTCTATATAAACAATCCTTATATATTTTAACCAGATAGAAAGTATCATACATTTCCCATACTAAATGCGTGTTGATATGTACCAAACATATCATATATATGAACCATGCCATCATCTTCTATGCATAATAATTCTTCTTGTTGAGACCACCCCAAAAGGATTAGTTGACCACCACACCACTGAAAAGTACAATAAATACATTATAGGTGTCAATTTTTAAATGTATGATAAAGTACAAGGTTATAATAAAAAAAACTGCAAAATAAAAAATAGTTTGTCAATTTAAAAGTATTTGTAATTTCTAAAACTTTTACTTGGAGTTTTGCTGTTAGTTTTCCAGAAGATGTGTATAAATATATCATAGGTTTAGTCGCTCCTTGAACTTTAACCAATTTCTTAGGATTTTCGGTGACTGCAATAGAACCTCCATATGGAGCTGCTACTAATATATTATTATTTGAAACTTCATGTTGGAAAGATAACGGATATAATTCAAATTTTCTGAAAAATAATTATATTTTATATATTAGATTTGTTTTTTCCTTTTTTCTTGTTTGTAACGGTCTTGTTATGATACAATAACCTTATACAATTATTACCTAAAATACACGTCCTTATCTAAGGGAAACCAATCGGCAGTTAACATTGCTAACATTTTTACAAAAAATGGAAGTTAGTATTTATTCCAATCAAATACTAATTTATGAATTTGATTCTAACTGTAAAGAATGACGTAAATGAAAAAAGCACTGTGTTTTAAATGTAATTAAACTGTCATTACATTGTGCATATACGGCAGCGAAAAATCTGTATTGATTATGCTGCGATGCGCGACATGCGTGTATGTAGCATACGTATATGTATATACGTGAAAATTATTTTGCCTTTTGTTTTTGTACAAGGATATGAATAGCACTATAGTATTTTGCAATCATCATTATATAGCATAACCTTTTTAATCTCGTAATGAACAAACTAATTAGCACTAGCTTTTTATTATCTATTGATGTTTATATGTTTCAAAACTCGTCTAAAGACAATCAATTTAAAAAAATAAACATGATAAACAATTGGGGTTATTATGACAAAGAAGGAAGGTGGGGGTGGCGTTGCATACACTATAGCACTACCTACGATAGATACAAGGTGCATTTAGAGAAACATATATGTACCTTCAACAAGAGCTTAAGGAAACAATATAAATAATGAAAAATATATGATTAAAGTTATTTAAACAGTACTAATAGGGATCATATTTGTAACGTATTAAGATCATTTGTGAAACATGCTTGTTACCGGATTCAAAGAAAAGAGTAAAATACAGAAAAGTATGTACTGTAACGGTTTAAATAACAGACTTAGAGATAACGAACGAACGTAGTGGCAGTGAAAGGTAGTCCAAGAAAACATTCCTACGTCCATTCGCTACATCTCGCGTTCTTTCTGAAACTGTACATGTTACATACATGTGTGTATGCATAATGTACAAAAGTGTGTATCGTATACCGTTCATTCCATTACAGTTTCCCCTACCTAGAATCGGTCGTATCGTAAGTCGTGTATAGATAAACTCACGTGAACCCCGTTACGTTCCTGTCAACGAATTCACTGTCGAGGACAACAAAGCACACGTATTACTCTTTTGTTTTCTACTCCTCCGTTTGCATTAACTGTGATCTTTTTATCGGATCACTTTATGCAATTGTAACTCTCTAATAATTTATACACTATTTTAAATTGGTTCGCGGTAATGCTTCCGTTTTTTTTATCTGTTTTTCTTCTGAAATCAAAAGAAAACAAGAAGTGAAGTGGAATTGTGATAAAAATTGAATTGTAAGAAATCCGTTGATAGAATAAACAAGAGATTGCAGTGTTTCGAACGAATACTATTACATTTCAAGGAAAAAGAAACCCGGTCAATCAAACAGTCGTGCTTAAAAATGGCTAACTGATAAGGCAGGATTCTTAGAGATTTGATTTCGAACAGCGACTTAGTTGGTACTTAAATGGTGATGTCCCACTTGGATAAGCGGCAATACGGCGTGAAACAACAAATATGATAAAAGCGTAAGTTGTTTGTTTAGTAAAGAGATTATATCACGATACTATTTTTTATGATTTTCTAATTCTTCCGGCATATTAATCGAATTTACAAAAAACCAGGATTAATAAAGCTGTATACTGTTTCGTCGTATACGGTGCTAAACAAAATTGAACGGTTTTTCAGATAGAAGCTAGCAGAAGCAAACAGAAGCGAGTAAAAGTAAGCAAATAGAGAATTGTTGCATATTAATGTAGTTAGCCCAAATAATTGACGAAGGATTTAATACATAAAATTTCTTCGAGGTCACGCACCTTCTCAGCTTATTTCATCTTTAAACCTGTTTTTCTCTGCGCGTAAGCGTGTGCGATGTGATCGACGTGGTAACTTTGACTCGTGCAACGTGTCTTTATTTTGTCGATGTATCTAAATATAAGTCAAGTGTCGAATATACTGTTTCAAAAATTGAATTTGCTTTCATGGTTGCTCCAGTTCTTATTTCATTCGTATATTCGTAGCGGAGTATAATAATATAAGTTTGAAAAACATAGAGAACGAAATGGCGGTTAGATAGGAATATACTTTATTCGAGTGAAGTTGCCTTCTGCCTCTGTTTCTGCTTTACCTTCTATATATTTTCTATTTTCGTTTTGTCATATTAATTTTTCTCGTCACTTTTTAATGAGAGTAAATACGAAAAACACGAAGGATGACTAAGTAAGTTACAATAATCAATATATCGTTCCCAGGTGCTGTCTGTCGTTAATTATTTCTACATTGTTAAATATTGTTTGCACAAGAGAAACGGAATGGATACCGTGCGTCGAGTTGAAGCGGGATTTACACGTTCCGTGCAAATGTTCCATCTCCATGGAGTACAATCGCTCCCTTGATATGAATTGCGATCGAATGGTATTTACGCGGAGCACTATGGATAATATAAGAGGACAACCGATAGTTTCTATTAGTCAAAGAAATAGCGGATATCAAAATCTACCAGAGGATTTGCTCAATTCTGGTTTGAATTTGAGAAAGCTTGACTTATCTGGAAATTCGATCCATAGGTTGATGGGTCGATTACTTCGCGCACAGATTCAATTAAAGGAATTAAGACTTGCCGATAATCTCTTGGGTGATAATCTAAATCCAATATTCTCGAGCAACGAGTTTCACGGCATGAAACAATTAAAGCTACTCGATTTGACTAGAAATGGTCTTCGGAGTTTAGAAGAAGGCATTTTCAAAGGATGTGAAAGTCTTGAACAGCTTTATTTAAACGGCAACAACTTTACCGCGGTGCCGACGATGTCATTAAAAGGTCCAAAGTCAATTAGAGTGCTTTCGTTGTCAGGCAATAATATTGGTGCGCAAAGAAAGAGAAAATAATGAAAATAACTTGTCTATTTGACAAATGTCTCTAATGATAACTGTATTTTAGGATCTCTTCCACGTGCTGCTTTCTCAATACTCGGTGAATCGCTGTTACGACTAGATATAAGCGAAAACGAATTGTCTCATATAGAAGACGGTGCGTTTTCTGGACTTGGACGGTTACTCCTGCTAAATATTTCTGGCAACGATCTTAGCCGCTTTAATAGTGAGGTCTTCAAAGGTATTTGCTATACACGCGTTTTATCGCGAAGAGGCTAAAGGAGTAAGCCATACTCCAGTAAAAATGAATAAAAATATAGAATTGCAATTACTTTTAGGGGCTTACAACTTATTGCAGTTGGATTTATCTACGAACTTTTTACGAGAATTTCCGAGCGACGCGCTGAGACATTTGACAGATCTAAAGTTTCTTAATTTATCGAATAATCTGATCAATGTAAGTCACAATAATCTGTAACTCTATTTGTTTGTTTTCGGAGTAAATAAAACAGTGGTGTTAATCGAATGTGACTTTCACTCCAGGTAATAGAGCATGGACATTTATCGGCCTTAAGCGAACTTCAGGTATTGGATCTTAGTCGAAATAACATAGGACGTCTAGGTTTCAATACGTTTTTGAAATTGTCAGAATTGACTAGCCTTGATTTGAGCTTAAATGCATTACGCACGGTACGTACGAAGCGTGAAAGAATACAGAATAGACAAAGGAGGGAGGGATAGTTTATCTTCGGGTTGAACACAAGTTTATTGTTTCCATTTAAATGCACTAAATGTTACAGATCGAGGAATCATCATTCAATGGTTTAGTCAAGTTAAAATGGCTTTCGTTACAAGATAACAACATCTTGTTAGTACCAGCCATGGCACTAGCTAGATTACCATCTTTGGCTCATCTTCATATGGAATTTAATCGTATTGCTGCTCTCCCAACTGAGTTAATCGAAGCGACAGCCTCAAGTCTTGTAACGCTGGCCCTCACTCGAAACCTAGTCCGAGAGATACCTGCCGGTCTATTCCAGGATTTTCAAAAATTGATCAGAATCGATTTATCTGGGAACATGTTACTCAGAGTCGCACGCGACACGTTTGTCGGATTGGAAGAAACGTTGCTCGAGTTGGACATGTCTTCAAATAGGTTAACCTCGATCGGTGAGCTTCCTCTAAGACGATTGATCTCTCTTAACTTGTCAGGTAATCGGTTAACGCGAATATCTCCGGAGACTTTTAATCATTTGAAAAAAGTCCAATATTTAAATCTGAGTTCAAACCCTTTGTATGGTGGTTTCCCACCAGTCTTTCCTTCTTCTGTGATCGATCTCGACGTCTCACGTACCGATCTAAATATACTACCGACAATTTTATTTCGAAACCTTATATCACTTAAGAGGATATCAGTAGCCAAGAATCAATTGCTGAGAATCGAAAAAGGCACGTTCAATCGACTAGGAAATCTCTCGCGGGTTGACTTGTCCGGAAATCGTATCGAGTATATCGAAAACGAAGCTTTTATAGGATTGACTAATTTATACCAACTAAATTTACGAGGTAACAAACTGAGTTTATTTACCGGAGAGTACTTTGACACCGGAACGGGACTAGAAAATCTAGATTTGTCTTCGAACCAAATAAATCGACTGTCATCGACTGCTTTTGTGATACATCCCAGATTACGGAAGCTCGATCTGTCTGATAATCAATTACTTTACTTTCATAACGATTATTTGAAATCCTTGCAATTTCTTGAGTGGTTGAATTTGTCAGGAAACAGGTTAAAATGCATCGACGAGTTTACATTTTCACAGCTTGGTCGACTTCGAACATTGAATCTTGCTGCGAATCGTATTGAGTCACTTAATGAGCTCGCGTTTCATAATTCCACACAGCTGCAACTACTCGATCTATCAGAGAATAGTATAGAAGTATTAAATGAAAGAACGATGGAAGGTTTGTTTCGTTTGAAACACTTGAACCTCCGGGATAATCGCTTAACTTCTCTTCCGGAAACAATCTTCGACCCGACGAGAGTTCGTTTCATTGAAAGTATCGATTTATCTGGAAACCGATTGAACGAAATTCCTATTAGATCTTTGCAGCGGCAGGTCCCTTTTCTATCTAGCTTAAACCTTGCTCGAAATAGAATGGTTGAATTATTTAGCCAGGAAATTACAAGCAACGTAAAGGAGCTTGATCTATCAGATAACCCGCTAAGCGAGAATGCGATCAAAGGAATATTGGGCGAAGCGAAAATACTTCGATCGCTGAATTTAGCTAATACTGGAATCAATCGGCTGGCAGTTAGACTTGAAATGCCATTCCTGAAACGACTGAATCTTTCCAAAAACAGTCTGACCGAGCTCAAGGTAATTACTCTCGAACGCACTACTATGCTTGAAACGTTGGATGTCTCAAGGAATAAATTGTCAGATTTCTCAAGCGTAAATCGAGTGTTTCAAACGTTACCGGCTCTTCGTTGGTTAGATATATCCAATAATTATATAAAAATAGTCAACGAAACCAGTTTCAGTGGATTGATCAACTTGCGTTTTCTAAGGATGTCTAATTTACCGAATTGTACAAGAATCGAACGAAACGCTTTCAAGTCGCTTGGAAAGCTTCGCTCCTTGTATGCATATGATTATCCGAAGTTGGGCTATTTCGACGTTCAAGGAATTCTCAAAAAAATGTACAATCTGGAAATGTTGGACATCGAGATTAAGGATTCTTCAGTAAGCAATGAACAATTATCAATAAGTTCACATCCGCGACTTAAGAAGGTGATCCTTCGAGGTGATAGGCTCAAAAATATCCTGTCCAGCTCGTTGGTTGGTGTTCGAGAGCCCAAACTAGTATTCGGTCTCAAGAATACCTCTGTCGACTCGATGCCGACTTCTCTTTTCTTTCCGGTGCCTCGATCCACCGAATTGGAATTAGACATCTCTGGCAGCAAATTTACCACACTATCTGGACAATTTCTTTCAGCACTTGACGAAAGAACTGGTTCTGTGAAAATTAAAGGGCTTCGCTACAATCCAATTGATTGCAATTGCGATGCAAGACAACTCTGGAAATGGCTTAAAGTAGTCGATAACGATGATCCTTCAAACTTTATTTTATGTTCCACACCGGCCAGCTTGGCCGGATCATTGCTGACCAGTCTTGCTGAACATCAATTTTCTTGCAATTTTACTTCCTACAAATTTTTCGATAAACTCGACAACACCACCTCTAGTATTCACATTCTTACGTCCTCCACTTCTCCTTCCGCCGCAGCCGCCGTCTCTACCTCTACCACCTCCTCTACTTTCTCCTCCACATTCTTATCCTCCTCCTCGTCTTCTTCTTTTTCTTCCGGCTCTACCACAATATTCTCTTTCTCCTCTTCAGTAAAATCTACGTTTTTGGAACCAGAAATTATTTGGACAGTAGCACCTGTAGTTCAAACTAGAGATCACAATAAACATTTTAATGGTGATCATATTTCTTCTTCGCCAGTCGGATCTTCCGCTAGCACGGATGATACCCTAATCATCGGTATTGTTGGGGGCGTCGTCGCATTCATAGCTGTAATCGTGATTGTGATATGCGTGTGTCGATTTAAATGGTTTTCTGACCGAATTGATCAGACGCGTTTAGCCGTAGCAACTGGAACCAGTAGCATTCCCGATACCTCGATGATTAGGCCTGCTAGCGCCTATTCGGGAAAAATTAGTCATGAGTTTTACCTCGGATCCTACAACGAATCTACGTTGGATCGTAGAAATACAGCGATAGCTCCTTCTATTCCAACTACGTCTCCACCAATAATGCCTTTAGTTCAACCACCAATGCATCTAATGCATACTCTTTTAACACCTATGCCAACTCAAACGCAATCACAACTGCAAACGCAACAATTTTACGGATACTGTGATGGCACTTCTTTGCCCATCTACATTGCTTGTTCAACCGATATTAAGTCAAGTGACAGATAACCCTATGCTTTCATTGCATACACATATATACCTCATAATTTACTTGATCATGTTCAACTAACGCATTCACACGTTTACGTTGATTTAAATGTAATTTTATTGAATATTCTATCATTTAACAGACAATTTAAACTCATACGAATGATAAATAAGTACATACTCAATATACAGTAAATAATACACGTTATTTTTCTTGTATTCATGTGCGTATGCATATTTGCGCGCGCGCGTGTACATGTACGCACATACACCTGTCTACGATTATATTTAATTATGAGTTTGTGTATATTTTATATGAATCACATAGTTTATATATTTTAATATATTGATTTTTCGTACTTATGCATGTTTCATTTGAAGATGACAGGAAAAACGATAAATTGTGAAATACACTACAAATATACAACTTGTTACATAAAAAATTTCGATATAAAATATTCGTTTTTGCTTTTTTTGATATCTCAAATATTTTGATTTTGATTATATTAGTTATATTATTAAATTTTTACGAAACTTCATGGAATATCGTGATTTTATATGTCTGAATCTTTCTTACATCTTCTTTCACTTAACAGATTACTCCCCTTCTCACCTATATTATATTAAAATATTCCCTTTAAGCCATTGTGAAACAAAAATCAGGAGATCAAAAATAGATCTATCATATTTTCCCTTTATGCTTCCCTTTATACGTATTGATCCTCTTGTATATATTGATTCTTTTGTGAAAATTTTTGATCGTTTATTTTGAGGTTTCAAAGAATTAAGGCTTAAATTAAGCACAAGGTAAACATATTATGTATTACATGATGTATTATACCCTTTTTTCCATTTTAGAAATTCTAGAACTTTTTAGTTATCGATTCGGTATTCAATAAGATTACAATATTAATAATAATTAAATTCATAGGATAGAAAGCTTATCCTAAACGAAGTATCGTATTCCATACCTGTTTTTTAAAGTGTGGTAAGACTCACGCTTTCCCTTCTCACATTTTGTAGGCCTAGACTCCCCTTCGCTTTCTCCGCTCCCGCCGTGAGCGTGCAGTTCTACTGCCTGAACCGAAGTGAGGGAAAAGTAATGGGTGTCCCCTTACAGAATTAGCATTCTTACGTAAAGCAAGTAGGTTCACCGCGTTCCGCAGTACAAACGAACGTCCATTATTTTTTCCCCACTTCTTCACAAACTGCCTGATTGTGAGTCAGGCAAACAGCATTAACGTCAAGAGGTGTAAAAAGGGCGGGGGAGGGAGATGCCAGCAAAATATCAGGAAAAGGGGAAACGTGGTGTCTCCGTCTGGCCACGCTGCAGTCCTTTATACACCCGCCCCTCGATTTTTAGGTTAATATTTTCATATCATTTGATCGTATAAATAAATTTTCATTGGACCCTATTCTTAATATATTCTCGTTAATTGAATAAACATGACTTTCTCCCCTTTTTGATCGGGAGAATTTATCTCAACAATTATGTAAATAATTGTATAAAAAAATTATGTAAACAATTATTTTTTAATAAAAAAAGATACTTTTGGTATTATAAACTTATAAATAAATGTTTATTTTACAGTACTTTAAACAGTAATTTTTTGAAAATCTGAAAAAATATAATTTCATTCACATAAAATATTTGAAAATTGATAACCTGCATAAATAGATGTGAGTGAATATTATCGTTTAAATAATAATAAATCTTAATAGGATATGTATAAGTAAAAATATAAAAACGTACGTAAAATGTGTGAAAATGTAAAGACATTATTATATGATATTTATAGCAAATATTTCAGTTTACACGATAAAACATATTTTTTAACAATTTGGTGGATAGGAATGTCTATACACTCGCTTTATTGGTTACAAAGTTCACATTGAATATCATTACTAAACTCATAATTTTAAGTTGTGAGGGCGGGGAAAACCTTCGATTGTGTGGACGATCGGTAGATGGAAGATAAAATCTCATAAGGTGATAGGTCTATTTTGTATTTCGTCATAAATATAATTTTATACTTCGCATTCAGAAGTATTATTTAAATTAACTATAGTATATACATCTATTTTAATCAATGGTATGTGGCAACACGTATCGCATGTACGTTTAATGAATTTAAAAATCTTTTCATTTCTTTACAAATGTATTTTCATTTTAAAGAAATATAATATCTTCATTTTTAATGTTATATTAAATTCGAATCTATTATCGACAATCGATGATACCAATTGAAGACTCACAAATTGCAATATATCTACGTTTACAAATATATGAATATCTAGTTATATTCTATGCGAACGTACACCTCATGCGTAGATAACGTAACCTTATTTTAGGTTCGCGATATGTCAAACGTCGTTTGCAAGCATATCGATATACTCACGTATGTAACTACCTGCATATAAACATTTGCTTATACAGCAAAGGCTTTTGTTTTTCTAGTTTCTAGTTCTTATGAAAATTTCAATTTTATATGGCATGTTAGTTTAAATGATATTAAAGGAGAATTTGAAATTCACTTCGTATCTAATTTCCCACGAGCCTTGTTACTGTACTTAAAGGATTTTTGCGATCTATCGCCTTTTTTAGTTACGAAGCATCGTGGGACAATTAAATACACACACACACACACACACACACACACACACACACACACACACACACACA